ACTATAAAGCCCAATAATCTAAAGCCCACAGACTAACAGCAACGTCTGCCTATCACTGTAAAACTTTGCTGCCACTTTTAACGTTCCACATCATTAATTTAGCATCACAATGGCACATCCGACAGATCCAGTCAAGTTTAGGGTTTATAAAAGCTGGCTTCTTCCTGTCACCGTCTTCACGAGTGATTTCACACAAAACGAGACAAATGACTAGAAAAGATTTGGTCCTCTAAAGATGTCCTTAACCAAAGTTACCAGCTGTTTTTAATTCATGAAGGTTCAGCAAACAACACAGTGCTCTCATGTCATTTAGGTTATTGTTTTAGCTTGGTCACTAACAGATCCTTACTATTTCTCTCCAGCACGGGATATCACATCTAGCACCAGACGCTGCTTTGAGGTAGTTCTTCCAGAGTTTGAAAATAAAAAAAAAGCCTTTGTCGAGACTAGAAATGCTTTGAAACAACACCTACGTTGGCCTTGCATGATAAGATGTGCACAGATTGGCATTGGTTTGAAGCTCTGAAAATGTTTCTCATTAAAAATCTGATTTAGTACAACAAATATTTGCCCCTAAACGTCTACCGTGTTTGCACTTGTGCTGTCAGAGCTGCAAACATGAAACCTATTTTATGTGTAAACTCGGGAGCTCAAGCCCAGAAGGGTTTCATTTTCTTGGGGGAACAAATGTCTAAAAATATTCAATCTGGTAATCCTTTCAATATTTACCAGGACATTCAGTTCTTAAAGAAGGAAGAGAGTGCTGTTGGCTCTATCCCATTTGGATTTCACAACAGAGACTTGTAGCCAAATCTGATGACACAAACCTTGTGGACGCTACGACAATGCTGTCACATGGCTAGAAGTGGTTGGCATAATAACTTTGAGAGATATATTGGCGCGCCTGTAAGTTTCATTATGATAAAAAGAATAAAAGGAGCAAGAAAATGTGTTTGCTGAAGAAAGCAGTGGTCTGCAACTCAGACGCCCATTTATAAACCCCCCACCTGCGAACGATAGAACTGACCAAAGAAACACAAGCATCTCTCCATCGCTCCATGTGGCACCACGCCAACATGCTACACTCAAGAAAACTTTATAGGACAGCCCTGTGGGGGCTGGGAGGGAATATCAGGCTGAAGCCAAAAACAAAACATAACAAAAAAATCTAACCCAAACAAGATTACACATCTCGCAATGTACAAACACACGTGCGCACGCATGCACACACACACACACAAGCATTACACCAGAGCAAAAAACATTATTTGCACCAGTGGTAATTGTAGTAAATAATTCAGGGTTTCTAATATTTGCTGGAACCAAAACCTAACTAAGACAACAGAAAAAAATGTTTCCCCAACACACAAACACACACACACAATATGCAAAGATGAATTGGTCAACTGGCCGTTACAATATTTTAAACCACACAGACTAAAATACATTCATGACTATGTAAAGATGGAAAATCAGTTCTACTCTACATTAAACTATAAAAGCGTCAGTTTCTCTCTGAGACAGATAAGCAACAGAGAGGAGACGTGAAGTTACAGAACATTTTAGTTTGGAATAAACTGGTTTACTGGGTTTGATTGAAAATATATTTTTCAAAATGTATAAAGGTTATAATTCTCCCAAGCCAACTGTTAGACCTGAGACGATCAATCAAAGCCTTTCTTAACTCACCAAAAGAAATTTCATTAAAATATTGAAGAGTACAACTTGTTAGTTTATAACCCAGTCATTCCTAGTACCTTTGCTGTCAAGGTTTTAGTTTCTCTAAATCAAAACAGAAAAAAAATATACATGGGCAAATATGTGCATTTTGCACATCTAAATATATATATATAAATATGTGTGTGTGTGTGTATTCTGTAAGGTCTTCTACTCTACAAGTATTTTAAAAGCATCTCAAAGGACCTTGTTATTTACAGTTTGAGACAAAGGCCTTCCAGTATGTTTCCATCCTCTTTATACAACTTTGGCATCCAACAAGCAGGATCACTAAATCCTTACAACCCACAGCTCCTCTAAACTCCAGCTCTATACAAAGGCAAGCTTCCCACTGAACGAGACATTTACTTTCAGTTACAGATTATTTCTAAGAAAATGCTGAATTGGCCCTGATCAGCCTGACGTTTTTGACCATAAGGAGACTCTCGGGTCGCATCTTTACCTTTCAAGAGCCCCCCAATGTCAAACGAGAGAAGAGAAGTGGCAGCAAGTTTGTCCTCTTGATAAATATTCTTAGTGAATCAACAGCTACAAAGTTTATTCTTGTTTATTTAGTGCAAATGTAATATTGTTCAAAACTATTAAAAACTGGGAGTTTCTTGATAAAAAAAGCAATGCCATTCTGGTCTGCTATTATAAGGTGCTGGTGTAGGTAACAGAGAACATAAAGCAGTAACAACCAAAGCCATCTCCTCCTTAAAACACTCCTCAAAATTACTTCAAATTGTTTTTTATGTCTGAGGAACGCTTTTGACCTCAATATGATGAATACTTAAAATATCTAGTAGAGTGGACCTTCAAATCGGTGGGAAAGGTGTGCACTCACATGGTGATGAACCCAACAGACTGGATCTGAGACCACAGTGGAGCTGTATAGAAATGATGCATTTGAATCTGTCCTTTTCGGAGATATTCAGAGCATATTTATCTTGTTGCCTTAATACAAAACTAAATTTCATCAGCAGTCTGAACAAAAGTATGACTGCAATACATAAACTTTGTCTGGACCAAGGAGAAGCTGGCGTTTGTTGTCGTACTGCTCAAACTGGGAAAGCAAGGAGTCAATAAAAATCACGAGTGGTGCATAGAATGAAGGGGACAAAAAGCTGTGAACGCTGTGTGGCAGGTACAAGCACAGTTGATGGATTTGGTCGTACAGCTTGACACGCACACCTCTTACATAAACATTCGGTCTTTTCGGTTTAAGCAAAACTAAGAAAATAATAACATAAAACTACACAAACTGGAAAAAAAAAGATGCAGTCACCATCAAGCGTTTCAAACCTCTTGTCAATGCAAGACTCGAGCAACGCCAACTAGATATAGCAAGGGTAATTATAGAGAAATGGCCAGCAGTGTGATGTTACCATAACACTTAAAACAGGTAACAAGAGGTAGAACACATGGCCATTTCCATGCAATTACACCAGTGTCACACAACATGGCTGAGCCTTCTGCTTCACATGAGGAAAACACATCATTATACCCATAATCTGCTATTAAAAGTGCATCCAAATTTACATGTTGAGAGACCAGCACCAATAAGAACATTGACATCAAAACAGTAAATATCAAGTACATGATTTTTTTTTCTTTTAGAACGTCCCACAAACACAGTCAGTCGGATTTCTAGTTGCTTTCCAGAAAACAAGAGGTCGTCTAAGGGAGACAAACAATCCTCAGAACGATGAGAATCTTCTTCGCCCACAATAATAAAAAAGAAACCTATGTGGACAAGTTCAGTGAGGATTTACGGTGGTTTACAGTGAAAACGTCTAGCACCTCAAATCTAAATGTCATTTTGTGCTTCTGTATCTTTGAATAATAATCATGTAAAAATTGGTTATCTTGTTTGGCCATGAAAGCTTGTGTTACAAAGGATACACCAGGGTTGTTGGGTTTTTTTGGCTACAAAATCTACAATATTACAAATGACCACATAAATACTTCATCCTATAAAAGCATGAAGATGCTGATGAGCACCAATTCTAAATGCAAAACATTTCAAAAAGAAAAAACTAAACTCGCACACAAAAAGCCCTGATTGTCTACCTCTATAAATGATCCAATTTCACGTGGCATGGCCCACAGCTAAATCTCTTTGTTAATAGTGATGCATAGTTAAAAAGTATTCACTTTAATGAACATTCACCAGCTTTAAAGAGCTGTCAAACTAAAGTGGGACGTTACATTGTATGAATTTCATTAAGATCAAACATCTGCATTTAAAACATCTGTACAAATGGAATTAATTTTAGACAAAATGTGGGCCAGTCTTTAAAAAGGTCTCTAAAACGTTTCAGCGGTCTCCACTGAAAGCTTATTCAAAATAGACTTTTTAACATTATTGTTTAGTAAAAAGACTTTCAAAAACTCAGTTGCATAAACCCCAAGCTTTTTGTGTGACGACTGCTCAGTTCTTGAAGCCAGCTCGGTTCTTTTACTGAATTTTGATCAGTTCAAATGAAAAAAAAAAAAAAAAGCTGCAGCTTTAAGTCCACTGTACCGAATGCCCGGATACCGAGAAGCCGCACAAAAACCCCCGTCTTCATGACAATGCTGCAGAAAATACGTTTCTGCTAATATCTACAATAAAAAGACAAAGCGGGGTTGAGGTGTGTCAAAGAAGAAAAACAATCATTAAAAAATGTCTACATGTCTAAAACATTTTAGCTACATGCATATTCATTAAAGATTAAAAGGAGAAAAACTAAAATAGTATAAAAAAAAGAGGAACCACAAAGATTTCATCATGTCCCCCTGTGAACTTCTAGATCTTGTGTCCTTTTCAGCGCGGCTCAGAATACATTAGAAAGGTGTCCTTGTTGGGATCCAGTCCCAGAACACAGAGTTTTGTTTTCTTCTTGAGAATTATTGGTTCTGATTAACATCTGGGCCGGAGAGAGATAACATGACGTCCTTTCAGTCTCTAAACTTTAAACATCTTTAGATGGAACAGATATGAAATTAATCCTCCAGCTGTCACCAGGTTTGGCAGAAAACTGATGAGAATTGAGGATAAATACTGAAAATCCTAAAGTTGGCTGATAAGAGATTTGAACAAAATAAAGAAAGGTGGTCCCAAATGGCACTTTTTCAGCACAGAATGACCAATGTGGAAGTTAAAAAAAATCATTGGATTAAGTACTTTTGTCCTTCTTGAAGTACCCATCCTGGTCAGTGCACTTTACTTTCATTAAATGTTTTTAAAATATTAGGCATAAAAACAATCTCTAATTTAAAAAAAAATCTTCTCTTCCTAAGCACCAAGACTGCAGCTAGGAAAAACATAAAAACTGGAAGAGGCTACATCCAAATTAAAGCATCATCACGATGTATAATGTAACTGCCCAATATTTCAAATTCAATTTGTTTTTCAGTGTGCAATCTTTAACTTTTCTTTTTTCACTCAACGCATTTGCCCACTCGCCCGAAAATAAACACCAAATACAAAAGGTAAATCAAACCTCTTCCTGCTAAATTCACCTTCTAAAAAGTCTAACAGATGGCTTCATTTTCACGGGTTTAAGGGTACAACTGTAGACGTAAGAGCCACTCGTCGGTTTGTCAGGTTGGGACATAAAACCACTCTATTGTTATGTACAGCTGACAGTGAGGGTAGTGTGTTCCATCTGTGGGGTCTCACCCACGCCACCCTGGGGCTGTGAGGTGCTCTCAGGCAAAGTACATGGTGCGCAAGGTGTCCTGGTGGATCTGGACAGCTTTGGCCAAGGCCTGGTGGTCTCGTCCATTGCTCTGTCCTGATGTATGACTGCCCTCCGCGCTGAAAACAAAAAGAAGAGTGCACTATCTATAGTGGTGATACACATTCATTAACATGGACTAGACCTGTTTATATAAAAACTAATTTCTCAGAAGACTAACATCCTTCTATTTTTTGTATCCGTTTCTCCTTTCTGGATCACAGGGAGCTGGTGCCTATCTCCAGCAGTCACTGTGTGAGAGGCAGGGACAGGTCTCCAGTCCATGACAAGGACAGAGACAAATAAAACTACCGTATTTTCTGCCGTTCACGTCGCACCGCCCTATAAGCCGCATCAGTCCAAATATGTCTAAAAAAGTGGAAACATCCATAAATAAGTCGATTCGTCGTATACGTCGCATCTATTACATGTCACCGTGGACAACCCGGAAACATGGGCCGGTGTTGTGCCAAAAATCGATTGGCTGCCAAATGGTGACTGCGGGAGCATGCACGGGAGGACTTTAACAAGAATTTAACAAGATTAACACTTAAAAACAATTATTTGTTTGCTCAAAATTATAGTAAAGGTGTGTCTCAGTTCAACTTTTACTTAATAAATGCAGTTTGATGGTCAAATCAGCTTCATTTCGCTGGAGCGGCGCAGCAAAATGAAGCCGATTTGACAGTTGCTCCAGGCAAACTGGATGAAGGTGGCAGGCTAAGGCAAGCCGATTGTGTCATTAATTGTCATTAATTAATTGTCTCTCTTGTAAATGGGTCCTCAAGGCTCAATGGGATTAACCTGTCTAAATAAAGGTTAAATAAAGGTTGAATGAATGAAAAAATAGCCACTTTTTACCCATTACATGACACAACAGCATGCCATGATACTCGACTGCCATCTAGTGGCTGAAAATGGTAGTAATCAATATTTTCAGTCAGAATGAATGAAAATGGTCATATCTAAGCCCAAAATCGGTTTATAAATATGGGAAAAATCTATAAATATGTCTCTTTGCTGTATAGGTCATAGCCATGCTAATTTATGCAAAACACTGCAACTTATACAGCAATACAGTACTCAAAATTTCACTAACATCTAGAGACAATTTTGAGTTACCGTTTACCTTAACATGTACGTCTTTGGTCTGTGGGAGGAAACCGGAGTACCCAAAGAAAACCAACACATGCATGGAGAGCACATGCAAACTCCACTCCACAAAGTCCCAGGCCAGGAGTCAATCCTGCGACTTTCATGTTGAGAGGTGACAGTAATGCGCCACCATGCTGCCTCAACAACCTAACGTTCAGACCCTCACCTGTCATGCTCCTTGTCCACCAAGTGATAGCGAGCCCGGAAAGCTACTAAATGAGCATAGTAGGCCGGTGCTGGGATGGAAACTGAGCGAGTGCAGCGCACATAGGTATGGCAAAGCTGATAGGTGAGGACCTGCAGTTCATCTGATGAGAAGTGGTTGTCGTCCCACAGAACATGGTAGTGAGATGGTCTGCTAGTTCCCTGCAAGGAATGAAGCACAAATGTTGATGCAAGAATTTACGACAACTTTGTGTAGAGAACGCAGTCGTCTCGAAGCCCAACAGGATCTTATCCCATTTCAGTTCTTACCTGAATGCCAGCATGGCTGCAAAGGTAGAAGTCAAACTCTGATGGGTGAGTGATTTTGGTGTCCACTGTGGTGCCTGCAGGAATGTTGCCACTCTTTCCAACCTGTACAAATACACATTAAAATGTTTTTCTGAGCTGTGACTGTTGAAGAGAAATAACTTTCCAGGAATTTAAGTTATAAATTAGAGGAATATTTGCTAGACATGCAATTTGACTGAAACTTCAGGACAATAAAAAGGCAGAAAATTATTCAAAATCAGCACCCATTGTTTTTAGTTTGTTTATATATGATTATATGAGCTAACTTGAAATGCAGATGATGAACTTCTCCCATTACCAACAAATGAATACTGACCCTCTCATTTCTGTCCACACAGAACAGCCTTGTATGGTGTCTCTTCTGCACAACCACAAAGGTGATTCCAGGCTGATAATCTTTCTCTAGTTTGATGCAAGCCTCACGGATTGCCAGCAGCTCATGTTGCAGAACCTGCATGTAAAACAAGATCTTAGAAATCAACTGATTGAGCAGAAACAATAACGTAAGCTACAATTAACATTCATTTAAAAATATACAAGTACACAGAGGTATCCATAACAGTATTCACCAATAACTCATATTTTTACATTTTATAGTTTATTTTCAGCATCGTCACTGATATTACCTGACTAAACTGGCCCTCAGAGATGCCATCTCGATAGTAGATGATTCTGGTGGGTTTGAAGCGAGTGGACTTGTAAAACTGGATGAGCAGCTCTCGCACCATGTTGGCCAGATCCTGGATGATGTCCTGACGGTGCTGTTGCACCCGCACCGTGGCACAGTATCGACTGGGATGGGCATCCATACTACCAACCACCTGACGTGAAACAGGAAACATAAACTTTGTAGATATTATTGTAAAATAAATGTATACACAAAAGTAAAAATCTTTAAAAAAAACATTCATTGGGCTTAAAAGATACAAAAAAAGATTGAAAAAACTGCAGCGTATCTTTTTTATACCTTGTACTGCTTGAAGTTAAAAGAAGTTGGACTAAAAGCTGGTTTAAATCAGTACAAGCCTGCACCACTTTATGGTAAATGGACTGTAATATAGCGCCGTGCCATCTTATTTCAAGATACTCAAAGCGCTTTACTCTACAATCTGTGCCTCATTTACCCGTTCATACAGCACTCTACTAGATCTCTACAAAGCTAATTGAACAAATTTTTTTCATTTAGCCTTTATTTATACAGGTTACAAATCATTCTAAAGAAACTAATCAGAGCTTTAGATCACATTCATACACTGATGGGACACATATCAGAGGCTATGAGGGGTTCAGTGTCTTGCCCAGGGACACTTCAGCATGTGACTGCTGGTGGAGTCGAACCCCCAACTCTCGTACTGGAGGACAACTGCTCTAACCACTCAGCTACAGCTGCCACTTTATCTCAGTTAAACTGCAAGCTTTTATGTTAAGGCAATTTGTGTGTATTTATAATTGATCATCTACTGTCCTTTGTTTTATAGTAGACATTAGGGTTGTTATAGATAAACCGATATGACCGGATATCTGGTTTGACAAGCTAGCGATATGGTTGTGTCGGTAGCAGCCGTATAAATCAACAGCAACCAGCCACAAATACTGAGATGAACCGGTTGAAGAGACATGGACCGGGTATCGCGAGACTTGCTCTGTTGACAGTGCATCTCTAAAACAACATATGAGTAGGGGAATGCCCGCGAAGCTATTCTCACGCATGCTCCGTAGCTCACCAAGATGACGAGAAAGGATGAAAATAGTAGCAGCGCTAGCGAGTCACAGCGGAAGATTTTCAGTACAGCAGCCAGACAAAAATCTAAAGTGTGGAACGTTTTCGGGTTTTACAAGAACGGAAAACTCGACAAAAGCCATGCTATTTGTAAGCTATGCAGAGCACCTCTGAAGTACACTGGTAGCACAACAAACCTTGACCAACATGCAACGAGAAAACACAGAGAGGAGTATGGCGAACTTCTCAAGTCCCATAACAACGAGCAGGAGCAGGCAGCTGCCACACAGAGAGCGACGGGTAACGTTATCACTAAATTTTACGGGCAACTCGGCGACAGTTCATCACGAGCTAAGGATATAACAGCATCAATAACCCGTTTCATAGCTAAGGGCTTATGGCCATACGATATAGTGGAGGGGGAAGGATTTCATGATTTGATTCATACGTTAGAGCCCAGATATAAGATTCCGTCCCGGCAGCATATCACAAACACATGCATGCCAGCATTGTATGCCCAAGTGAAGAGCCAAGTTGAAAAAGAATTGGCACATGCAGAGCGAGTTGCTGTTACAACCGATGCCTGGACGTCATGCTCCACTGAGTCTTATGTGACCATCACTGTCCACTACATCTCTCCAGACTGGAAGTTAAATGTGCATGTGTTACAAACCAGGGCATTCAAAGGATCCCACACTGGGAAAAACATTGGTGCTCTGCTAAAACAGGCATGTGTTGACTGGAACCTTCTTGATAAAGATCCAGCCCTGGTGACAGACAATGCCACAAACATGGTACTAGCTGGAGTGGAAGCAGAGATGACCCCTCACCTCATGTGCTTTGCACACACTATTAATCTCGCCACACAGAAAGCCTTTAAAGTTGACACAGTAGCAAGGTTGCTGGGGAGAGTGAGGAAAGCCGTTGCCTTTTTTCATCGTAGTGTGAGGGCAGCAGAAATCCTTCAAGAGAAACAGAAACAACTAGCCTTGCCTTCCCACAAACTCATCCAAGATGTATCCACGCGGTGGAATAGCTCCCATGACATGCTTGAACGCTTTTTTGAGCAACATCCTGCGATTTCTGCAGCACTCATGTCCAGAGACTTCAGAAAAGGAGAAGAGGTGAGTACTCTCAAGGACAAAGACTTCTGCGACATTGAAGACATTGTCAAACTGATGGCGCCGGTCAAACTTGTGACTACCAGCATGTCTGAAGACAAGCGACCCACACTCTCAATGATTCTTCCTGTAAAAGCAAAGCTTAAAAAGAACTTTGAACCATCAGATGAAGACTCAGTGTTAATCAGAGATGAATCAGGCATTCAAGAATGACTTGGAGAAACGCTACTCAGGCCTTGAAGATCTCTTCCACACTGCAGCAGCTCTGGACCCCAGTTTTAAGTCCCTGCCCTTCCTCAGTAACCATGATGCAGAGAGGACATTCACAAGCATATCAGCAGAAGCAGCATCCCTGCATCACAAGGTAAATCCCCCAACACACTGCCAAAATACATATTACAGTACATTCAGTTACAGTCTGCTGTGTTTTGTTGCTGTCATTAGATTTATTCTGACTACTGTTTATTTGATTCTTTACACTGCATTTAACCATACTGTACACTAAATGTAATTTCATGTTTTATTTCTAGGTAACGGGGGCTTCAGTTCAGAGAGGTCCAGTGCAGACTGATCCATGTCAGAGTGAACCTGCAAATGGAGATCCGGTCGTCTGCATTGATGGACCCCAGACCCAAGATGAGCATAAAGGTTTGTGTGTTTTATAACTTGTGATCAAGAACGAGAAGACTTTGTCTTAAACTTGTGCTGCAGTCATAGTATCAGTATAAAACACATTCACTATAATGAGAGGATCTGCATGCAAAGAAAGAGTTAAATAATAATGATGATGATATTGATACATATTTTACATATGTACACGAGTCCTTACATAAATAAATTCTGAACATCAAATGAAGATTTATACATAAAATGGTAGTCAATTAAAAAACTTCATGGCAAACATAGCAAGTAATATAAGGTTCTTGTTTTCTATTTTAGATGATAAACCTCCTTGTAAAAAGAAGAACATGTCAGCCTGGACCAGCTGTTGGGAGAAGACTTTCAAGTAAGGACGGCATCTAGATCTGTGAGGGACCAGGCCAATGAAGAAGTCAAGAGGTACAGAGAGCGTGATCCTTTGCCCCTGAAAAAAAACCCACTACAGTGGTGGAAAGAGCAACAGGACTTGCCACTGCTGTCATCTGTGGCTAAAATGTATCTGTGCATACCGGCCACCAGTGTGGCATCTGAGAGAGTTTTCAGCACTGCAGGAGATATTGTTTCCACAAAACGCAGTCTACTCAAACATGAGCATGTGGATCAGCTGATTTTCCTTAAGAAAAATCTGCTGCAAAAAAACGATGAGGACATTGATTATGATGAATAAAAATATAATGTAGGTAAACATACAAACATAAGGAAGTGAACTACTTCACTGTGTTTGAGTTCAGATTGAACCCGACGTGAATGTAGAAATGCAGGACATTACTTTTGTTCAGACTACCTCACCAGGTCAGAAAGCTGCACTTTGATTTCTTTTATACATGTAATCGGCACTTTGACTGTTGATATGTGCTGCTGATTATCCATGCTGCTGATCTGATCTCATGCTGCTGTTTAAATGACATGATGTAATATTAATCTGTGCCCACCTGCTCACACAAACTCATGTTCGTGCTGCTGTTGTTAGGCGTACTGTTCTTGCATTATGTTTTTGTATTATTAAGTTCAAGTTCAAGTTGTGTTTATTTGTCATATGCAAGGTTAACACAATGTTAACAGTTCAATGAAATGCTCAGGATGAAAAGAACCGATTTGACTTGCTAAAAAACAAAAAAACGAGCAAACAGGAAATACTAAAGCATGCAATAAGGGTACAAAATAAACTACCAAAATGTGAAAAAGTAATTATAATATTTACAAAGTTTCTGAAGAGAAAAATAGTAAACAACACTGTAGAAATTTTACGGTGAAGCAGGATGAATTTGTGTGAATAAGTATTTCATAATATAAGCTAAAATGCACATGATCTATATTGCACATACCTACTAAACTGTGTGACAGGTTACTGCACAGCAGGTTATTGCACAGGTGCTTTGTGCTTACTGTAGCTTATTCCTATTTTTTTCCTAGTGATTTTTTTTATTACATGCTGCTGTAATAATTTGTGCATTTTATAAGTTTTCTTTATTTTCTAATTTTATATTGATCCCATCAAACAAATAAATGTTCTGTTAGCTGGTCTTTTTAGATGCATGTCTAAAAATAAACACATTTGACATGCGATTCTGTTGTTTGGCTTTTTACTTTATTTTGCCAGTGCCTTACTGCACGCTTTTAGATTTGATATATGTAGACTTTTACAAATTTAAAAATACTGTAAGAATGTAACATTTATAGAAATGGCCCTTTTTGTTCATAATTAAATATTTGTCTACATTCAACAAATATTAAACTGTAGAATTATATAAAGTTGAATCGAACCCAATCGCTCTTACACTGTATCGAATCGTTCCGTTTTTAAAATAAATCGTTTTTCAAACGAATCGTAACCTTTGTATCTAGATGCGAATCGAATCGTCTATCACACAGAGATGTACAACCCTAGTAGACATTATCTACTATTTTAATTTGAAAGGCATTAATGTAGTTAGTTCATCATGTTGTGCTAAGTTACTTACAGCAGCAATGGAAGGTTTCTTTCCATCTCCTGCAGGTGGATGAGTCACATCTGAACCCAGGAAGATGACTGGCTGCTGAAACACCAACGGCCTTCACAGGAACACACACAACAGATTTATAGGCAAAATTTACCATACAAAGTAAAATGTTCCAGGTGCTTCGCTTAAATCCAAGTGTGTGCTTTTATTAAACAGTTTACGTAGAAGGATTTCCACTGACCTGCCCTGTGGGAGCAGGATGTTGTTGACGCCGCCCAGCTTGACGTTGATCTTCAAGCAGAGGTTGGAGAGAGTCTGAGGGGTTGTCTTTTGTACATTCTTCACCTGGACACACTGTGTAGCCATTCCAAGAACTGTGTCTCCAACACGTTTCACCTCAGCTGTAACATACAGAACAATAAGGAAATATTTTACATCCAATCACTGATTACAGACATTTTAGGAGCAAGGTTTTTGGAGGTCTGGTGTGGCTGCAACAAAAAGAAACCCTGCAATATAAATTCAAGGTGTATAGATAGATTCCTTGTTTTGGTTGTAAATAACTTCGCAGAGAGAAAAAGTTGGAAAGCAAATAAATGTTTGATAAAGAACAAACTGTATGTGGAGATATGTCAGTGATAGCTTAAAGATCTCAACTATGGGTAAAGTAGAAAGACTCTTCAAAAGATATTGAAGAAAAAACAAAGCTGAAGTTTTTGGGATGTGGTCCCAGTGCAGTGAGCCTACAGTAGTTTGTTTACTGAGTGTTACCAACAGCAGGGATTACTTTTAAAAAGAAACTTAAGTAACTTTATTGAAGACTTGCTAAACATAAAAACATGGTTAAAAGATTTGACAAAGTAGAAAAACTAGAGAAAAATAAAACTAGAGAAATTGCAGTTCCTGTGAAAATGCAGTGTGAATGCTTATTGTTAAAAAAAAAAAAAAAAAACAGTCCATGCTCAATAATCCAGGTATACAATCCAAAATTTTTCAGTCAGGTCATCTGGACAGTTTCTTTTTTTTTTTTTTTGAAACGTTTCACCTTCCATCCAGAAGGCTTCATCAGTCAAGGATGATGCAGGCTTCCTTGACTGATGAAGCCTTCCGGATGGAAGGTGAAACGTTTCAGCAAAAAAAAAAAAAAAAAACTGTCCAGATGACCTGACTGAAAAATTTTGGATTGTATACCTGGATTATTGAGCATGGACTTTGTTGGTTTTGAACCAGTTTGACATGACTGTCAACGAGGAAGAGGGCCGGCTCCAGAGGAGGGGGCATGCCAAAGACACCATCTTAGCACCAGCATAACTGGTTTGTTCCACTTTGGAGTAAGCTGTTAGGGGGAAGAATCAGTTTTGTGTGTTTCCTTGACTGATGAAGCCTTCCGGATGGAAGGTGAAACGTTTCAGAAAAAAAAAAAAAAAAAAAAAGAAACTATCCAGATGACCTGACTGAAAATTGATGGAATGCTTATTGCTGAAGTACTTGTTGAAAAAAAGCTGACATTAGCTAAAAACATGCTGAAATGAAAGAACAAGCCTAGGTTAGAAAAAGAAAGCAGAAATAACAAATATTAGGTTTAAATAAGAAGAAATTAGAACAAGAATGAGGAAATTAGCTTTAAAAAATAAATAAATAAAAAAACAGCTTAAATTAGCATAAAAAACTGAAAAATAGCTAAAAAAAACCAAAAAAACAAAGAAGCTGAAATTACAAGGAAGTGAAGAGAGCACTTTCTTTTTCCTGAACTGGTCTGAAAAAAGATAAAACGAGTGCAAAAAATGTGGAATTAGATGAAAATGCTTAAATTAGCATAAAACAGCTGAAACATGATTATTGCTGGATTGCTATAATATATATATTGCTGCTGTTCAGCGTATTGTTTTTATGCTATTAGTGTAGGAATGTGCGATATGGCATAAAATTCATATCACAACATGTATTGTGAAGGGTGGCGATAACAATATATCACGATATGTTTTTGGTATAAAACTTGCAATAGGAATGAAAAAAGTACAGGGTGTCCTTTTGCCATCATTTATTTTGAATTAAGAAAATTCCACTTCTAGGTCCAGAGAGTTTTGAAATAATAAACAAATCAAGTATTAGGCTTCTTTCTTGTAGTGCAAAACAGTGCAAAAGATATCAATGTAGTTTTAGCCATATGTTTCAAACAAAAAAATATGTTGTTAACTCTTAAGTTTCCAATATTCTTACTTAAGAAATGAACAGCAACAGAGCAGCATTTTACACTGAAACACTTCACCCTCCAACCCTCTAGTGGGCGCCTCCTTCTGCTTTAAGGAGAGCTGACACAAAATGAGTCTGGGACTTTGACCAGAGGGTCTTGCAGTAAAATCACACAACACAGAGTTCTTTTCACAGATCAGAAAGCAGGCTTCTCTAAAGCTGACCAACGCTTACTTTAACTTTAGACGGAAAAACAACAACAAAAAAAACCCTTTTGACGGAACACAGCGTTTTGCGCATGCGTCAGAATACGGCAACACTACGGCACTCAGCTTACTACTTAGCTCTTGAAGAAAAGACTTTAATACCACTTAGGCACAACTTTCAACTTAAAATGTAACGATTAAATCTGACAACTCTGATTTTACATCAGACACAGCATTGCTGCAGTTAGCCGGTCAGATCTCTATCGTAGGATAAATTTCTATCGTTTCGACCGTATACCGTATATATCGCGCATTATTAGTGCTTAGTGTATTTTTAGTTAATGTTTTTCTTAGTTTGTATCTTAAATCTTATTACTGTTTTTCTTTACAATTTATACTTTTATTGGATGTAACTGGTACACAAATGTCATACACGTATGACAAATAAAGAAATTCTCAACTCTGACTCTGACACAGACACCGGTAATATTATTATTCAATTATTTTTGGTGTTTTTGTTATTGATGCTAGGTTGGTTTTTTTTGTGAAATTAAAGAAATAATAATAGTTTATCTAATGTAGTTAACTTAAACAGATACTACATTGATGGTTAAATATGGGTTTAGTTGTTATACCAGTATGTTTGGATTATACATGTAATAAATGTAAGATTATGTAAGTGGTTAAGGAGTGGGAATTTTGATAAGATTATACTTCTACCCTCCCCCTTGAATAAGTAAAACAAAAAAGTTTTGACATTATGCTTCATGCTGGGTTTTTTTTACATATCCAAAAAATAATACACTAAACACAACTAAACAGTAGAAAAAGCTGAAACTTGCAGAAATAATCTGAAAGGAGCATAAAACAGTTGGAAAAAAGTTTAAATTTGCAGAAGGAAGCTGAAGCAGAACAAAATGTGAAATGAGCAGTGAAATGTTGTAAACAGATCTGAAGGATGTAAAATGAGCTCAATTCATTTCCTATGAGGAAAAAAATGACAGAAAAGGCTAAATATTTCGAACAGCTAAAGTTGAACCAATACCAAAAGTCATGAGGATTGTCCTGAAAGAGCTGAATGTTTTGATTTATGATTTGTTGAAATAGCACAAAAACTGTAGAACGAGAAAGATGCTGAAAAATGGATCACAACAGAGTGACTGCTTCATAAACATTCACACTATTCTAAATGGTTCCCTCACCATAAACTGGTGTCTTCCCAGGAAGGATGACCACCACCAGCTGCAGGCCCTGGTAGGTGTACTTGAGGTGTCTGAACATTGGCTCCACGCTGTCGGCTCCCTGGGCGTACTTGCAGAAACAAGGCTGACCCTGAATAGGCATCCCAGCATCACGAGAGATCTTCCTCAACTGGTCTGTGAAGGCTCTTAAAGAGGAAACATGATGGTGAAAGGTCTCAACTATCCAGTGAAGGACCATAATAGAAAATTCAAAACAAAAGACAATTGGACTTGAAGATGTTTCACTTCTCATTCAATGAGCTCTTAAATCAGACTAAAAAAAGTACAACTAACAAGCTTTTAAAGTATGAATTAATTGATGGATCTTATTTGACTTACAGGTCTCTTTTGTAAAGGAGACTTTAAAAAGCTTAGTTTATGGTCCTTCAAGTTTGGCCATCTATTCAGGAGCACAAACATGAGACTTCAAGCAACTGTGCACCTTCCTGGAGCAGACACAATCTGTGAATCTTACTTGAGCAGAAGTTCAGTACACTGTCTCTGCGGGGCAAAGCAGGCAATGGCCCACACTTTGATCTCAATCCCAGTGTGGAACTGCTTGTTCCTCATGTCCCACACGCCCTGGATTGGTGTGGCTATTGCTTTATTCTGCAAATTGTTAAATCAGCAATCTTATTAACGCTTGTCTTTACATCAGGTAGGCTACTAAAAAAAACTGTTAAGTAAATGCTGATGCATCACAAAATAATTTTATCAACATACCCTGCCGCCGTACAGTATTGAAGGTGCTTGCAAGACACGGCCATTCACTTCTGTCATTTCATCCTTCACCATCACGCCGAATTCACGAACATAAGGGTCAGTATTGAAGTTGGCACTTCTCATCTGGTAAAACAAAAGATGCATTTAAAAGCAATAATCACACATGTAAAAAAAATTAAATTTGGTAACTATATTAATTTAAATATTCAATGCAAAAAATCAGACACTTTTATTTAGCCTTTTTGAGTCACAAAAAAGGGCAGCACGGTGGTGCAACTGGTAGAGCTGCTGCCTCTCATCGAGCAGGTCCCTGGTTCAAATCCCGGTCTGGGGGCCTTTCTGTGTGGAGTTTGCATGTTCTCTCTGTGCTGTGTGGGTTTTCTCCAGGTACTCCAGTTTCCTCCCACAGACCAAAAACATGCATGTTAGACTGATTGATAACTCTAAATTGTCCCTAGGTGTAAGTGAGAGAGTGAATGGTTTGTTGTCTCTGTGTGTCCCTGTCATGGACTGGAGACTTGTTCAGGGTGTACCCCGCCCCTCGCACAGTGATTGCTGGACATGGGCACCGGTGACCCCCTGTGACCCAAAATGAAAGAAGCGGGTAAAAGATAATGGATGGATGGAGTCACAAACACCTTCTCACTTCCAAATATGTTAAAACAAAAACGTGTGTTTTTAGACCAGAAAGTTCTAGCGGCTCTTTGAGGGATTTGAGAGCCATTAGGTCCTCTAAAGAACTGCCTCTTCTGTATTTGCCAGAGAAACGCTGCAGCTGTCGGTGAGCGTGGCCACGTGCATGATGATGCTCACCAAAACAACCAAGTACACCACAGTAAGATCTAGACGTTTTTGTATGTCAAGAATGTCATGTTCACAGCAAAGTACATGTGTTTTAAAACACAAGCTTGAAAATACAAGCAGAAAGTGAGCCAGGAGGCTAAAACTCCCCAGAATAAATCATAACAGAACACAAAGGCTGAGGAAAGACGTTGACGCTGATAAACCACATATAGAAGTACAGTCAGTTTGAGCTCAGTTTTCTCTTGAATGAATGGCAAAGATAATTAAAGAGAAATATAAAATAGATAAACACTACAAGCTCCATTGATTGGTACACATAACCGTGTTAAATATTAACTTTAAATTGACACAGGAGCATATCATATTGATTTTCAGGCAAAACACAGTTTCTGCCGTCTGGATCCAAACGACAGCTGATGAGCGAAGGGAAACTGTTCTGAGCTTCTACAATGAACGAGTTTAAAAATTCAGAAATGTGTAACACTTTTGAAGCTATCTGTAGACTTGTTTAAAAAGTACTAAGCATTTTATGTTTAAAAGTCATGCAGTATGTTTTCCAGAGCGCATAGGCTCAGTGGTCTCCTCCACTTCTGTGCTTTGTTTCACTTTAGCAACTGTTTTTCATTCATTCAACTTTTAAACAGATAAATCACACTGAGCCTTGAAGACTCATTTACAAGTGAGATCTGTTTGGACAGACAAAAACAGTGGTTAACTGGACATGCAGGAGTTGGAGGTGAAAAATATTCCTATCAGACTTTTTTTTTCTTGCCTGAGAAAAAACAAAAACTAACTGTGAGCAAATCTTTTACATTAACACAAGAAAAGGTTTACGTACAAAGGCATGTTGAACTGGTGCAGATAATGGACGAGATTCAACTCATTTGATGCAAAAATAACTGCGTGACTTTTAAACAGTGATGTCACAATAAAATGGTTAATATTTTTTAAACAAGTTTACAGAGAGCTTCAAAAGTTTTACACAATTCTGAATTTTTAAATTCATTCAGTGGAGTGAGATGGAGGAGGATGTGACTCTGTGACGACCCCTGAAGAGGGAAAAACTGAAACTTGTTTTGAAGCTCAAAATTGGCTCCATCTTGTCCCTTTAGACATTCCTGGTTCTACTGAGCCAAGAAGAAGTTTAAAACAGAACCTATCAATGCAATTTAAAAAACTGACCAGCTACAGTTCCACTCAGAAACAGTGTAGTGTAAACAGAGTCTAACGCTGTAGGTGTATTAATCTCTGGTGCTTTCCCATTCATTTTCTTCAGCTTTATAACCCTTGGTGTGATAAGAAATGTACAATATTTTTTCTTTTGTTAGTTTTGACTAGGTATTGTTTTTACTAGCTTGCCTGTATATTGTTCGTTTTGTCGTCTTTGTGGGATGTTAATGACCAGTTTACTGAACACCATTAAACCTGGCCTTTAGCTTCTGACCACAATAAAAACACTGCTTTCCATCTCACACTGCTGCTTAAACTACAGAAAAATCTGGCCTGTTGAATGTCTGAATCCATTTTTGAGGTGCAGCTAACATCTCAGTGGCACAGCGTAAACGCTCATCTCCCACCAACGTACCAGTTTACTGATCTCATCCTGACGGTCCGGTGCTGATCGGGCTGTGGCTCGGATCATAGTGGAGGTCTGATTGTCAGTCAGCTTTTTAATGCAGCGCTGTCCTGCCACTATGTTACACACCTGGAGAAACATAAAAACAGCTATTAAAAATCAACAACAACAGGCTTCTTTTTGCAGCAAAATACCTGAAGTCTAAAAGCTGGCAGTGCTTACCTCTAGAGGGAGGTAGGTGTGCTTTTGTTCTTGTCCCACCTGTAAACACGGGAGGTGGGGGTATCGCAGGATGAGCTTGTACTTGTCTTTAAAGTACTGTGCTACTGTACATTCAATAGTTTGGCCATTCTCCTGCTGCAAGGGAAACCTAAAACAATACAAAAAATAGCAAATTGGCAAATCTCCAGTGCAATGAGAAAACCTTTTCCATCCATTTATCATAATTTCATCTAAACTATTGTGAGTGAAAAAGTCATGGTTTTTAAATTGCAAATAGCTGACCATATTAAACAAAAGTAATTGTCTAAGTTTTTTTCTTGCTTGTTTATTACTTTAAAAAAACAAACTAAGCGATTAAAGATGAAGAGATCATCCTCACGTTTGGTGGCTGGCTGGTCTTCTGGTCACGTTGCAAACTCTGTACTTTCTTTTCATCTGACCACAGTGAGTAATCTCAACTTTCAGGCCTAAATAAGACATCAATAACAGAGGTTAAAAATAGCCTAAACTAAGGAAATATAAGCAAATTCATAAAGACAGACACTTTTTTCAGAGACATGCTAATAAAACCGAAGCAGCTGATCATAAGGGAAGGGATGAACTAGCCTCAGGTTTTACTTACCTTTGATTTCTTTTGTAAATTTTACACGCTGAGAGTCTGTTAAAGGCTTCTGCTGCTCCTCGATGCTTTTGAAATCCAAAACTTCACACATGAATTCAATCACAGGCTGAGCCTTGTAGAAAGCAGTGGCAGAAACTGCAAACAAAACAAGCACAATGTGCTTAAGATTTGTGGAACCAGCTTCAGTTTAATCCAATTTTTGCCAAAACTACATGTAAAAATCACCATCAATGTTGAGCATCATTTTCCAGAGAGAAGGCCTGACAGACTGGTGAAACCCAAACCACACCTCTCTGCCACCACCAAGAGGGTTTGAGCATCCCTCTGAAGGAGTAAAGAAAGAGCGCCCCACTGGGGTATATCTGTAACAAACATGTCGGTGTTGATAAGTGATGAACATGTTTTAACAAAAGTCAAGACAAGAGAACTATCATTTCTATATACTGTATGTATAGTCAAAGGATTTGTAAAGCGTATGATTTTGCAGGTTTGTACCTCATTGTATGCTGTAATTGTATTCTATAATGCTTTGCAGAAAAGTACAAGTACACAGATTTTGAAATATATTGTATCACTCAACATTTTCTGTTGACGTAAACCTCAAGTTAATGAAGTTAACTCAAATGATCCATTAATATTACAGGAAGATCATTTGGAAACATTTTAAAGGAAAACTACATCCAGTAATGGCAAAAACAGTAAATTTAGCCCGAACCTCATTGAGGGCAAATGCCTCATGACCACGTCCAAGGCTTGAATCGTTTCAAAGGGAACGCTGGGTAGTCGTCCTGACAGTGCCTCATGCAGAGCCTGCAGACTAACGCAGGACATCCATTTGATGGACACTTTAAAGCTGCGGTCTTTGCCTTCACCGGGAATCGTGACTTCAAGCTCAACCTATGAGGAAGACGAGCAGAAAAACAGAAACTGTGAAGGTGTGATACATTTGATATGATTTAAAAAGGCAGGTTTTAATTGTAATGCAAATACATACTTTGTCCCTGCCTATGGGCAAAGGCATAGCAGTGTAGAGGTTTTTCCTTCCATCATACACTGGCTTTCTGTCTCCAAAGATCTGAGTTTTAAAGTGCTGGACCATATGCTCCACAATTTCACTGAGGACAACAGAAGATGGATCACCACAATGCCCAAACATTTGCAGCCAATAATCAACGGAGAAAACAAACAAGCTAAACCCACCGATTGACCCTCCTAGGACATTTTTCAGGCTTGATGTCTATATCATAATGATAGACCTCCAATTTGGGGATTTCCATCTCAAAGAAGTTGGCCTGGAGCTTTATTGCCCTGCCCATGGTGCCAAAGTCTGGCCGTGATGGTGGATTGAACACATATTCCGGCAATGGGGAAGATGGAGGGTCTAAAAGAAGAGAATTAAAAATCACTGTTAGGATGGCAATGTGAAAATAGAAGAGGGTCTTTAAAAGCTACAACAAACTAGAGCTGGGTGATATATTGATATTTAAAAATATTGATATAATTTTTTTTGCAATATAAGCTGAGACTATCTCGATATACACCTATATAGTTTTACACTTGGAAATCCTCCTGCCGTCTCCTTTCTCCCACTTGCCCCCTCCTTCTACCTCCTTGAACACAAACACACAGCCCTCAGCCACGCTCCCCCTCCCCTTCCTGCTTCTCCAGGAAGTGGGCGGGCATGAGGAGAGACGTTTAGCAGAAGTAAACATGAGCAGCTGAGCGTGTGTGAAGCTGCAGGTTTGACAGACCTGACTCCTTCCCTGAAACAGACCACGGTTCAGAACTCATTTAGCCGTGCTGTGCCTTTTCGAGGAACAGAGAGAGGTAGTGCAACATTAATAAATCAGCAGTTTATCATATCGCTAAAGATACAGTCCTTAGCGGCTAATAAGACGGCTAACGCTTTAGCCGTCTTGTTCCACAGCTGAGACGGGACCGTGTCTTAGCGATATGATAAAGCTGCTGATTTATTAATGTAGCACTACCTCTCTCTGTTCCTCGAAAAGGCACAGCACGGCTAAATGAGTTCTGAACCGTGGTCTGTTTCAGGGAAGGAGTCAGGTCTGTCGGACCTGCAGCTTCACGGTCCCGAGTGGAGGCTCATTACCGCAGTCCACACACGCTTACTAACGTGAAGGCGGCACAGCTGAATGGACTGTGCTTATAAAGTGCCTTTCTATCTTATCAAGACACTCAAAGCTCTTTACAACTGTGTTCTCATTTACCCTTCATACAATCTACTAGAGCGCTACAAAGAATAATCAGAGCTTTGTCACATTCATACACCGATGGGACACACATCAGAGGCAATGGTTTCAGTGTCTCACACAGGAACACTTCAGCATGCGACTGCTGGTGGAATCGAACCCCCAACTCTCCCATTGGAGGATGACTGCTCTAGTCTCTCAGAAACAGCCGCCCCATCTGAAGAGGTTTATTATTTAATATATGTAAATAGATGTCTACAAAAAAAAAACTATTTAATATATGTAAACAGTTCATTTTTTAGGCATTTATTTTGTACAGTTACAGCTGTTGTTAATAAATGTGGCTGTGTGACAACTGGGACAAAACTTTGACTCAGAAATATATTTTTGTTATTATTTTATGGAAAGAAAAAAATATTGAGATATATATCATATATCATGGTTTATCTTACAAAATATACAAATATAAATTTTGGCCCATATCGCCCAGCTCTACAACAAACTGGAATTTAAAATAAGTAAGTTTGTTTCTAAGATGACAAAAAGCAGAAATAAAGTAATTTTGGACTTCTAAGAACCAGAAAAACACACTTGTGACTTTGACATTTGATTTTCTTTTTCTTTTTGCACAGTGACAGCTGGATGTGAAAGGAAGAAGCGGGTAAATATAAGGATAGAAGGAAATTTTACACATATTAGGATACAAGGCTTGTTTCATTATAAGAATGTATATATTTAATTATTGTGGGTTACAGTGACTTACTTGAACATGTGCTGTATATAAAAACATCTACTTTGTATCACAAGTACACTTATGAGCAAAGTTAGTAAAAAGTGTATCGTTGAAGGATGAGCAGTCTAACAGCATCTGGGCATTCCTAATTTTGACTGTAAACCTTCTTTATCTGCCCATCCAAGAAGTTCCTTACCTGCAACTTTAGATATTTAGTCTGTCAGAGGAGACGAGTTCCTAACTGCCTTATCTTCACGTTCCAGCTCTGTTCATTCTTACAAACACCCATAAATGACCCTGATGCACCGAAGCATGAGTCAGTGTCTGTCGCCCTTGTTTTTTTACCTCTCAACAGCGTCCTGACTCCTGCACCAAACTGTTAGTTCCCATTAATAATTATATCAGCTGGTGCCAATTCAACATTAAATACATTGAGTTTGTTAGTGTGCAGACACTTTGAGCATGGCAAAATAATAGGTGACATTATAATGGGCGCAAATTAAATGCCTAATAAAAACAAGCATGGATATAAACATTTGATGGGTTGGATTTAAAATGATTGATTTTGTGCAATCTATTGACATTGCTCTGCAAACGTGACTTGTTCTTAAGAACATCAAATGGCAAATGGAGAACAAAGCAGTCCCCCATATAAAATTACATTTCATCACAGTGTCACATACAACAAAGCGTTGTTGTTGGACACTGTCTAAAAAGTTTCATAATTGAGGAGCATACTAATGCTAGAAACATGCAAAAAAACATTACATTCCTACTTCAACCATGATATGACTAGGAGCAGTTTGGGGCTTTAGCTTACCAGAACTTATAGACCCAGAGGATTGAGGCCTCTCAAGAATCTCACCAACTAGAGCAGATAAAAAATATTACACATTATAAATGTAGAAAAATGCACTTTATCTCAAGAACTCTTTAGCTTCAAACAAACTAGAAATAAAAGTACACTCTCCACACAGAACACATTCCTCCTTTTACTCCTCAAAGCTTAAATATCAACTTCCTATATAATATTTCATTGCAAAATGAGAAAATGGAAAAATTTCTCCTCGTTTTTAAAAATGTATCTGAGTTGTGAGAACTTTTATTTTAGGTCTCGCTCTCTTATCATTTTTAACACCATCGTCTACAATGCAGTATGTGTTATCTGTAAACCCGCAGAATGTATTAAACAAGCTGGCAATCGAACATGAATGAAGCCACCCACTTTGCAGGAAACTATTCTGAAATTCATAAATGTTAGTACTGTTTTTTGATGCTCGATGTGAAGCTGATGACAACCTTTAAAAGTTAATAAAAAAGGCACATTTACTGTTCTGCGGAATTACATTGTCTTTATAATTGTAAACTGTGGAGACAAATAACATTAGTTTGAAAAAACTATGAATTTGCATGCTTAACATTAAGACGTAGGTTGTGCAGCCTGCATGGTTAGAAAACTGACTACTGGTATTTACTTCTTTTTTTTACCTTGCCAATAATAAAAATACATTTTTCCTGAAATAAATTTAATAGATAATAATATATATTAATATAATAGATTATGAGACATAAATATGAAATCTTAATTACAACATAGTTGTGTTGAGTGGTGATGAGAGTACAATACATCTTTATTTGGGACTTTCCAGGAATTAAATGCAGCTGCTAACCTGTTATCCTACATTATTCTGCACACTTTTGTTACATTTGTTTTACTTGTTTTAAGCCTGACACTAATACTATAACAAAAATGAGCCTGCCTTCCAAAAACAATTCAAATTAGATTAAATTACTTAAAAATTCTAACTAAGTACCATCTTAAGTTAAACTTGGGACATTAAATATTAGCATTCTGACTTTGTTTGCATTATATATATATATATATGGGTGGATTAAACTACTCTATCACTTTA